GGGCCAGGGGGCTGCAGAGCAGGAGTAAGGGGCACTAGCAGGGATGGGAGGGATATAGGGTGGGAGTGAGGGGTACTAGCATAGCCCGGGGAGGGGGCAGGGGACTGTGGGTTGGGAGCGAGGGCTACCAGTAGGGTCAGTGGGCTGCAGGTCAGGAGTGAGTGACAACGGAGGGGCAGGGAACTGTGAGTTGTGAGGGGTAACAGCAGGATCAGGGAACTATGGGTTGGGAGTGAAGGGCACTGAAATGGTCAGCCGGGGGCAGAAGACTGCTTTAGAAGGGAGGGGCACAAGCAGAGTCACCAGCTTTGGAGTGAGGAGCAACCAGCATGGGCAGGGCCAGGACACTAGCATATCAGGGTTGTTCAGTGCCACAAAGCAACAGGGACAACCACAGCTGGACCTGCATCCTGGTGAGTGAAGGGGGCAGCGGGAGCTCTGATTTTCCATGATTAAAAAAAAGCAAAATTAAATGGCATATTTTATTATACTGATTAAGGCACTGGTAGGTTTCAAGAGTGCTTTAAAATTGTAAATATACCAGTAAAACATTATATTAAATTGATACATACATACATAGTGGTGTTTCATTTTAAACATTGAAAAACGCTGATTTGGCAGGGTTTAATCAGAGAATTTGCGATTTTTTAATCAGAGAACTTATGATTTTTAAACAGAGAAAACCAGGATCCCTGCTCATTACCCAGCGTTTTTGTTGTTTGTTGTTTTTTTTGGCGGGGGCGAGGGAGGATTAGATCAGTTTCCTTGGAATGGCACAGCCTTGGGGTCAGCTGATGTGCATCTCATGGTCTGTCTTTTGAATTACTAGTCTTTACAGCTCCCCTTCTCTTCTCTGACCTTGACTGGTTTCACAGCTAAGTCAGGCCCTGTTTCTGTTATGAAAGTTCCCTCATGTTTTCTTCCTCCTGCCAAAAACTTGGAAAGCCTTATGCTAAGCTTACTAGATGGCTCTGAGTCATCTATATTTCATAGTTTCATAGTTTTAGGGTCGGAAGGGACCTAATAGATCTTCTAGCCCGACCCCCCGCCAGGGCGGGAGAACAACAAAAGAGCCCTAAACAAAAAACGGGACTCAAATGAGTCTAGCCAGGTAGGTATCCAGCCTCTTAAAGATCCCCAGGGTAGGGGCCAGCACCACCTCCCTTGGAAGTTGGTTCCAGCTCCTAGCCGCCCTAACTGTGAAGTAGTTTTTTCGGATGTCCAATCTGTACCTCCTCTCCATCAACTTGTGCCCATTACTCCTTGTTATGCCAGCGGGGGCTAGGGGAAACAGCGTCTCCCCCAAACCCTTCTGGTTCCCCCTAGTGAGTTTATAGACGGTCACCAGGTCCCCCCTCAGCCTTCTCTTGTGGAGGCTGAATAGGTTCAAGTCCCGCAGTCTCTCACTGTAGGGTCTGCCCTGTTGTCCCCGGATCATGCGGGTGGCCCTCCTCTGGACCCTCTCCATGTTGTCCACATCCCTCCTGAAATGGGGCGCACAGAACTGGACACAATACTCCAGCTGCGGCCTGACCAGCGTCGCATAGAGGGGGAGGATCACCTCCCTGGCTCTACTCGAGATGCACCTGTGGATGCACGACAAGGTCCGGTTAGCCCTGAATAATGACACCAAGATCCCTTTCCACCTCCTTGCTCTCAAGTAGGGAGTTCCCCATCGTATAAGTGTGCTGCTGGTTCCTACTACCCAAGTGCAGCATGTTCTTGCTACAAACATTTTGGCTTCTTTGTTCTGTGTTTGGTTATGTTTCCCTTTTCTAAACTCCAGACCCTTGCAGTCAGGAGAAAACTGATTTTCTTGGGAAGAAGCTATCATTTGCTCTACACCAGGGGTAGGCAACGTTTTTTGGCTGGAATGCCAAAAAACCCCACAATGCCTACCTTGGAAGGTGCCGGAGTGCCAGCATGCCAGAAAAACAAAATAAGGGCAGAGGGTAAATGGCAGGATGCCCTGCTTGTGCCCCTTGCCCCCCAGCCCTGCTGCCCCTACCCCCCAGCCATGCTGCCCTGTGGCCCCCACCCAAAGCCCCTACCCCCCAGTCC